ATTTACAAACAGGAACAGGAAGTGACATACAGGGGGCTTGATTGGTCCCAGTTCTGTCTTTACAGCATTTGTGCATGGTCTGATCAGTTAGCACCACTGGCTACAAGATATACTCCTGAATTAGGCCTTTTGTTTCTTAAAATCCTAAGTCAAGGTTCTCTTTAATTACATGGAGACACCAGAATCAGCCTCAGGCAAAATTTTGCTTAATTTAACCTTACAAATTGGAAGCCTCTGTCTGGTCAGGGCCTTTCTATAAAGAGTGCATAGAGTTTTCATTTCTATTAGAAATCGCACTAGCTAGTAACATTACACTTTAATGCATCTGAAAAATATCATTGGCATTTTTTATTATTAGTGAAAATTAGCAACATTGATTGTTAGATTATTTTTCCAGGGAGTCCTTGTCTAACCAGAATCACAAAGGAAAAAAAAAAAAAAACCCAAAAACATATCAAGTGTTTAGCTTTTAACTTTAAGCTTCAGCTTAGTAACTAACTATAAAGAGATAATAAATAGATTGAGTTTGAAAGTACCTCATTGACATCTTTTCATGTAAAGATCTCATGAGCTGATCATAGCTGAGAATTTGTTAGGAAGAAAGATGCTTCAGACATCAGTAGGATTTTCTTATACTCAACACATAGTGTAAACTGGATATAAGGAAAGACAGACACACTGTTTTCTTTAGATCAGGGTATTTGAGATTGCAAAATTGTACCACAACAGTTGTGTTTGCATTTCTTCCGCCATGTTTATGCCTCCTGAGCTGGTCACTGTCACCTTTTAGTCATGACTGTTTTTGAGTTTCAACTTTTCTCATTTTGAACATGGAGATAATATGTATTTCTCCTCTGAGTTCACTTTCCTACATCTTGCCCAAGACCGTATCTATCAGCTTATTTCTGCCAAGTTGAAGAAGGTACATGAGCCCCAAGCACACTAACGAGATAATACAGCAGACAGGGCTATGTCCGACATATGGTTAAATTTCAGTCTCTGTCACAAGTCCTTCCCTGAACTGACCCTGTTTTGTTTGGTTTGGTCCAGGACCAGAACTGTTGGTCAAACATCTGCGTACGCTGGAAAGAGCTGACTGTTGAGTGCCCGCATCTCCGTAAAGGAGGCAGCTCTGCTGGCCCTTCAGCAGCAGGACTGTGCTCGTGCTAGCCTCTAGTAGGGACGGTTTGCTCTGATGCTGGCATACACCATAGCCTGTGAGTGCGCGGAGATGTAGCTAGCTGCCTGTGCAGCTTATCTTGAACTCTGACTCTGGAGCTCCAAGGCGTTTGCTCACTGTAAGTCACAGCTCTTGCTACATTCTAGACTAGGGAACAATTTCACTGGCTGCCAAGACAAAGCTGCAAGCAGGAGGCGGGGTGCTTTGTTATCATTTATGGGCTATGACACCTGGCCAGGTTCAAGCCCCAGACAGCCTGGGATTTCCCAGTGTCATCTTTCCATGAAGGTGCAGCGGCCACATAACTCACTCCATTTTTTGAAGTACTGCAGAAGTATGCAGCTTTTCAAGAAGACCTTCTTGGGGCATGAAGCCAGACAGTTGCTTCAGTAACCTAAATGTTTCCACCAACAATGAAGCTTTTTCTCCCAAAGCCTTTACAGCCTATTCAAAATACTTGTGGTTTTCGTTTGAGTCTTGCCTTCTCCATTCAGTGGCAGTATTGTCAGGGTCTGATGACATCATGTAGCCACTTTTTCCTGTGTTGATAAGTTGTTTTGGGGGGTTTAAGGTAATGCCTGAATCCAGAGTTCTCTGGGAACAGAGCCAAGAGACATTTAGCTGCTTAGCCAGAGTTAACGTCCATGGGAGCAGATCTGGAAAATGCTGTGGAGGATCTGTGGCCAAAACCACATAATCAAATTGTGTTGTGAATAAGGCCTTTCACAAAAGATTAGAAAAACACAACATAAGGCATGTGGAGAATGTGTTACAGAATAATCTTGAGCAATTAGGAAAAGTTAACTTTTTAAAATTTTGGTTCAAAGTTACTTATAAAATTAATCAAATTGGGTAATTGCTTTACTCGATAGAACTTTCAACATATCTCTTTAGGATACAAATCTGAGGCTAAGTTATTTCTAATGAATACTATTAGCATATCTTGTGGACATAGAATTAATACACGGAAAATGTACTGATGTCATTTTTTAAGGAAAGTGTGGATATTATATGAGCTCGCTTAAAAACTCACCCTATTACAAATGAGATTGTACTATCAAAGCCATGTAAATCTGGGAACAATGAAGCAAACAGTGTGTGTGTGTGTGTGTGTGTGTGTGTGTGTGTGTGTGTTTGTGTGTTCCGTTACAAGCTGGGCATGTCTGTAGCAAGAACCCTTAGTGTAATGTTAAGGCTGGTGTGAACTATTAAACCTTTGCCTATTGTCACACACACACATTTTATGTCTGTCAGATAAACTGGGCAGCCTCATTAAAAAATACTACAGTCAAGAACATCCTGTATTTTTCAGAGATATAGTCACTGAAGATTTGATACGTAATGCAATAGATTACATTTCAATATTCTACCTAGTTAGAGTTTTAAGGGGTGACAAAGATAAATTGGCCATCCATTCTAATATACTTTTCCCAAAGATATTGCAAAATCCCATCTAGATACAAATAAACTAAATTCAATACCATTTTTATTGCTTGACAACCCCCTTCATTCAAGGATGAAGAAAATAAGCGGCATTTCCTTTGATGTTTTACACTATGTATCTTAGATCTCAATAGACATGTAAATGAGATTTCAACTTATGTCACATTCCAGGCAAACCCCCACTGGTCTCTAACCACTTAAAGTTTGATTTCCTAGTCATCATATTGGTAGTTATCATGACGTATGCTTTTAAAACGGACCTTTGATAATTTTTAATGGATTTTATCATGTCACAATTTTAATAATTGCATTAGGATGAATGATGAAGTGAGTATAATGTGCTGGAACCTGGATTTCTATTTCTTATGCATTAAGATACATATAGAAATTATTAAAATTGTATGTGTTAACTATGAATTATTCACTCAGAAATAGTAGCACAATAAAATCTTAATCACTTCACTATTAGCCTTAAGTGCATGGCCAAAAGCTTAAACTGATGAAGATAAGAGAAACGATTGCTTCAAACATACTCCTGCACAGTGGGACTCAAGAGTTTCTAGGTAACTTAAAGTCACTCTTCTATTTAAACTGAAGATTTGTGCCCAAAGTGCTCAGAGAGATGCGCCAGTCTCAGTAAGTGCTCAGGAGGAAGGCTTCAGTGGAAGCTGTAACCTAGGACCCTGCCAACTGCAATGCATTCGAAATCAAGTCTAGGAAGTAGATAGATTTTAGGTCAAGATACAGAGAAATGGAACAGAAGACACTTAGTCTTTGCTTTTGTATATACAAAGCAAATTCATTGGGAATTTCACTCATAACTACAGTAAACATGTCTTAAGTTCCTAAATCAAACTTTTGTACTAAGCCATTAAGCTTTTGTAATAAAGTAAAAAACCCACAATTAATCGTTATAACATAAAACTGGGATGCCTTTCAAAAATGTGAAAACACTTTAATATAAGTTATAATTTCTACATATTTTATGTAAGAAATAGTTTCATTTAGCTATAAGTACAATACATTTATTAAGAAAATTCCAATTTACAAAATTGAAGTAAATAAATGCAGAAACATATTCATTGTTAAATTATAAAATAAAGTAGCTGTTCTTATTGAGACACCATATTGGTTTTTCTTTAGATACTGGAGTTAATCATTTTGTTGTTTGGTAATGCTTACAATATTTAAAGTAGTGTGGCATTGAGATTTGAATATGATGACAGGAAGCCACTGAAACTTCACATTCACAAATACAGCCACCATGAATCCATGAGTGAATGTTGATATTATAAAAAAATATAAAATGATTGTAATATAACCATCTAACCTTAACATACAGAGTTTTAAGACCACTATTAAATCGGCTAATTCACTTTGAAATAGAAGCAGTCACTTTTAGGTGATATGTGACATGTCTTTGCACCTTAATGACTTGAAATTTCATTAGTGTAAAAATATACCAAAGTAAATATAAAAGGAGACACTTATTTACAAAACAATATTGTATACATATTACATAAAGGCCATTGTTTCAGAGTCTTTTATACAATATTGATAGAATCAGTCATTTCCATTATCTTACCACAAAACTGCAATGTGACAAAGGTAGGCTGTGATTTTGATAGAAATGAATAGTATTTGGCTGATTTTTAAGATAGTGCAGTCTCCCCCATTGTGCTAGAGAATTCAAAGTTGACCTCTAGAAAAAATACTCTTTTTTTTTTAAGGAAATGCATTCTACACTTAGTGCTGTGTGCAGATGCAGCTGAAGGAGGGAGCTTGTTCTGTGTGAGACACCAGGTAATAGCCATTCAGCCAATTGCACTAGCACCGTTGGCATGGATTGTCCAATAATTATAGGGATGGAAACGTCTGTATGAGGTACCATTCCTATTTTGTGGAATTAAATACCAGGTATACAATACAAATATAAATGTACGTGAATGTTTTTAAATTACAACAATCCTGCACTTTACCAAGGCTACCAATAGTTTGTTCTGTAAATATTAAGTAAAACTGTCAAGAAATAAGATTTTACCTTTAATCATACCCCTTTAATTCAGCAGCCCAGAAGAAGAAATGCCTTCATTTCCTTGCCTAGATTGTAGTTGTGATATATATATGCACATAAATATAATTTAATCTCCTTCTAGTTCAAAAACTCTGGAAATCATAGAACATCCTATCATACGGTTTATTTTGATGGTTAAATGCCAACCATTGCATATTCTCTCTCTTAGTTCATACCCTGTAGCTTGTGCTTACATTAATATAGCATACTCAAGGCCTACAGCTTGTGGTACATAAATTCACAGTTTCGAAATTGAGGGGAAGACCTTCCGTGATTGAGGAAGTTTTGAACTTAATGCAAAGCTCATGAGCACCCGCACCGGTCAACTACCATGGCTGGAATTTTTCCATATATTATTTGTTCTTTGCCATTAAAATATAGCATATTAATGGGAGACATTTTTGTAGGAGTGCAGCAAGGGCCTGCTGAGCCTCTGGGGTTTGCTTGGTGCACAAGATGAGTATGAGGATATTTTTGTAAAAACACAAATTCACACTCTCCAGAGCAGTAATTGGCCTTATATCTTTTGGGTGCAATAATCCAATCCCATCCAAAGGCTTCAAAATCCACCGTGAGGGGGTAACGGCAGCACCGGGACTCTGTGGAGTGCTCGTCACAGTCAAGACCAAAGTCTCTCCGGGACCTTTTGGGTGTGTCTGTTACTTTGACCTCTAAAAAGGGATTCTGTGTGAAAAGGAAAGAGCAATTGTATTAATAGAGCCTGGAATACTTCCTGCCTTAAAAATCATTATTAGAAAAAAAAACATTATTTTATGCTATTTTTAAAAGAAGTGCAATGTTGAAGAATTTTTATTCACACTAGGCTTCATTTTTCCTTTTATGGCCTCAAAGAATATAACAGCAGCAGACATTTTCCTGTGCTCATTCGCTCTATGCTTTCAACATTTTGTTTCTTTTCATAGTATTTCATAGACATAATAGCACATAATAGCATCACCAATGCTTTGAGAATATGTGTAAGATGAAAGAGAAGAAAGGGTGGGCGGGAGGCTAAGAGGAATGCACATCCTCTTTTCATCATGGGTGGTGACACAGCAGCTGCAGGTGTCTTGGATGACTCTTGGAAGCGTGGGTACTCAGCTGATCTCTCTTCCCTAGGTCTTTTCTCAAAGAAATGTGGCTATTAATGGCAAAGCAGAACAGCTACTGCTGAGCTATGGATTACAGTGGGGGGGGGGTTGGGATGACAAAAGTAGTCGTATATATATTGTGTTGAAAGAAAATCCCTAAAGGAGCAAAGAGGAAATTCATAAGAAGTGATGAGCTGGGTGGAAATGTAGCTAGTGCAAGAGGGTTTGCTCCCCGTGTGCAAGGTTTGATCGTCAGGGCCACAGCAGCAGCAGCAACAGCAGCAGGAGGAGGAGGAGAAAGAAGGGGAGGAGGAGGAGGAGGAGGAGGAGGAGGAGGAGGAGGAGGAGGAGGAGAATTTGCTTGAATTGTGACAGCCTCAGTCTTCCAGTGCATTTGAGTCCATTTCCTTTTAGAGGGAAAACTCTAAGGAATATCATATTAGCCACCTTTTAAATAATTAAAACCTAAACCATTAGCGGCACTGATAACTAAAATACTGTCTTTGAAAGAGAACATTCTTAAATAGTTGATAGAAATTTATCTTATATCATGAAAATAACCTCGGTATTTTCAAAGAGAACATCACTTGAATAGTATAGCAGATGTTTAAGTAGTATATATAAAGAAAATACATCATTGAGGAAATTATAGTACTTCAAACAATATTTCACTTACTACAGATCTGACTTCCAGACTACATATTTCCAAGATCAATCAAAAGATGATCATGTTTATTATTTATAAGTACTATATTTGGTGTAAATTATGAAAATAAAAATATTTTCACATTAAGGTTAAAAGCAGAAGTAAAAAAATTCTAGTAAGACACAATAGTAACTTAGATTATGGGGGTATTCAAATGTCTTTATTAATTTTTATAGTGTATGAGGCCTGTCATATCATTGACTTGTTAGTTTATTAATTGGCAGTTCCTAAGTAGATTCTTATGCAAGTATGCTAAAGGGGTTCAGAAATAAGCTAGGCTGCAAAGGTTAGCTGTGTTAGAAATGACAGTTTTATTGGCAATGTTCCACAAAATAATCTATATGCCTATCATGGCTTCTACATTCTGTAAGTACTAAACAGATTTATTAGGAGGTGTTGAGTAAAATATATTAAATTAAGTATATCTATACATAAAAGGCATTTAATTAGAATTCTAATAATTTTTACTTCATGTGAAGCCAACATTTTTCAATGCAAAAATGGTAAAGAAGCAAATAAAATGGGAGAGAAAAAGTTTAAATTTATTGGGTAGATAGTAGTATCTGCAAAGTTACATAGAGATTTCAGAGTTTTATGCATATATTATATGTCCTACAATGAAAAGGATGTTATATTCATTCCCAATAAGGAACTCCTTATGAAATTTAGAACCATGATGCAATTGTTTGTCAGTCTTCATGCAAAGTTAGAGCATCAAGGAGTGCCTCATGGGACATGAGACTGGCACCTACCATTTTGGTTACAGACCTAGCTTTGGAGTAAGATACTTTGTCTGGCTTATGAGTACAGAAAATAGTAGTTATTTTTTACTATTCTCATTCATATCAGGAATAAAAATGTAGCACAGTTGTTCGGATGTTATTTTCAGTTCTCACTTACCAGCCCGTCTTCACCCGGTCCTGGGAAGGTTACAGCAAGATCATGCCCACTCTCATCCACAGCTTTGATTTCAATGCCTAAGTTGGATTCAGGCTGTTTGAGCCAGTTTTGCAACACTGTCTTCACATCAATACTCTGCCAAATGCCAGTGCCTGGGCTCATGTCAAGTTTCAGAGATCGGATTCCAGTATACCTTGTACCGTCTTTCATGGGTTTGATGAGTCTCAGGATTTGCACGAACACTGTTGTGGGAGTCTTGACGGGTCTTAGATGTATCCACAGTTGGGCTTTTACTACTTTGTTGTACTGTATTTTAGAGCTAAATTTAAAAAAGCAGCATTTGGGTTTTCCATCCGCTTGTGTTAGAAAGTCCGCTACAAAGGAATAAGAAAAGAATGACAGACATTAGGTCCTATCAAAACATGAATAAAATCACTCCTTCATGGTGGCTGTTGGGGTAGTGAGTACATATGTGGTCTTTTAAAATAAATCTGATGTGGAACTTCATTCATGATTCAGAAGAAGTGTCAGAGGAAATAACTGCTCCAACTTTTCAGAATTTCTTAGATATCTGTGTTTTCCCCTGTTTATTAAGAATCTACTCCTCTTCCACAGAATTATGTTCTGAGGGATACACTATGAAGGAATGAACAGCATATGAGAGTTGCGAGTGATGACGATTAGAGAGAACAGGAGACACTGCGGAGGAACATCCACTTAGAATTCTTTGGGAATCTGAGTAGCTACACTCACTGAGCAGCTGCAGCAGTCAGTCTGGAAGAAGGAACCCTTCCCCCAGGCCTCAATTACCTGAGGACGAGAGACCGGGAGCAATTTAACCAAGCCTCAGAAATAACAATTTAATACCTCTGTGACACTTAGGCTCTGGAATAGCCTTCAAAAGAACAACACAAAGCCGGCAACTAACACAAAAAGTCAACTGTCATGTTCAAGCTCCCTCAAAAGTCAGAAAGCCTTGGAGCAGCCTCTCGCTGCAGGTTCAGCACTAGCAACTGCTTTCTTCTGAGTTCTCCAGGCCACACGTAAGTGAGGGAGGCCTTCTCTCGAGCTGTTTGATCCAAGGGCCATAAATGAAAATTATTTGCTATATCGTAACCTGATTACTTAGTAAAGGGCTACTTGGAAAGCGTGTCATGTCTGGTTTTAAGTGTTTAAAGCATGGTATTAAAGCAAGATCTCAGACACATGGCCCAGCAAGCTTTCTTGTCCTGCCGGCTGCGTCAAGCTACCTGTCTTCCTTTTGAGAGAACTGAGAAGGGAGCTGCCTGAAATGTTTATCTCCCAGAAGCAATGCTGTAGTTCTAGGTAGCAGGCCTCCCCCTCATAAAGAATAATATCCTTCAGAATGGTGTCAGTCTCTGTTCCTGCCTGGAAGTAGCCGGCCAGGCACTCTTAACCCAGGAGCACAGCAGCACTCATGGCAAACTGCCCGATTATAATGCTTATTTCCTGAGCATTTTCTGATACTAGGTCATGAGTATTATTTTGCTATATCTGCTTCATCATTGCTCTTGTGAATGCACTGAATATTTAACTTCTTTAACTCTTCAGTGCAACAGCTTTCACAGTTAAATATTCTAATTTGTAAAGAGCATAAAAGCCCTATGACAGTTTTAAATAACAGAAAGCACTCTTAAGTTTGGAACAGTGTTCGAATAAACACCAAGAAAATTTCTTCCTTCAGTGTTAGTGGGAGGGAAAAAACTAATGCATGTTTTAGACAAAACAAATGTAGTTGTAAATGTCATGTTTTAACATTGCTTCTAGAATCTCACAGTCCTTGCTTTAGTAATGTTAGGTTCTGCACACACAAGCATTCTACATTTTCCATATATAATTAAATACTATTAAAGCTGGGCCAGCACGCTAACGTTGAACTATTTGGCACAACAGGATAACAAGAAAGGCAGATTTCACTGTTGGTATGTTTCTCAGGAAATCTTGAAGAAAAAAAAAAACCTCTTTTCTCCCCTACTTACATACAAGCCAACAGCTTGTTAAAAGCCTGAAAATAGATCTGTTTCTCATAAACACTAGGACAGCAGTCAGCAGAACTGTTGATACACTCTAACAGCTACTTACACTCCGTAGGCATGGTAATGATTGTTTCCGTGGTGGCATGATAATCGTCATCTTCCAAAGAGCCGTCGCTGCTGTCGTCTCTCTGGACGTCGTACTGATCGATCAGCTCCCGGAGCGGAGGCGCTCTGGGCAGAAGTTGTCTGATAGCATCTTTGCTGATGTTAGGAGCTGTTTCCAGGCGGAGTTTACTGAGGATTTGGATTTTTATGGCTTCTATTCTGGAGTACCTTGTGTTTTGTCTCCACGCACATGCATTACACAGCCCCTCTTTTTCTACATTTTCTTCTCGCTCACTGCCCTCATTTAGATCCACTGGGCCAGCAGCAATCAGCATAAACAGGTAAATATAAACATACATCTGCAGTTTTTGCATCATTTTAAAATCAGCACAGTCTTTTTTCCCTTGTTCTTATTTCTTCCTTTTGCTTTTGAGTAATGCCAAGCAAAATCTTAGTGCGTGTCTGAAAGACAACCTGCCATGCCAGTGAATCCTGTATACTGTATTCCAAGTGGCTTTTTATATTCCAACTCAGATGAGACAAGTGTCGTCAGGATCTATGATTGGCTCCTGCTGCACAATGAATCTCGCTGTCAGAGGTTAAAACCCGTCTGTCACAAGTCACCAAGCAGGATTTTGTTACAGTCGAGGGCAAGCTGATTCATTTGACTACTTCATAAATGAAATAAATCCCCAAATCATGAAAGATATATGTGATGCTTGATGAATTAAAGTTTGTGTAATAATATAAACTATACTTAAGCTTATTAATCTCTGTAAAACTCTTGTTGTAGTTTAAGTTAGCAAATTTTAATTTAGACTTCATGTTTAAAATATAAAATGTTAATCCTTTAAAAGCTGGAGTTCTATTTTGTTATTAAAGCAAATGTTTGAGGTAAAAAAATTGCAGCAAGTGCTGAGTAAATAGAGAAGTAATAATTAGGAAGAGATGACTAAATTAAAAGAAAAACTAAGCTTGTGACCTTGGTAAAAAGTTGCATCAGTAATTTGAGAAGCTTGTTTTCATGGCTTATTTGTTAGTACATATTAAAAACCAGTATTATTATGTTTCAGTGTACACAAACTTATTTTTGATAGCCTAATGCCTTTTACTAACATGAAAACTGTGCTTGATTCCAGCAATTAGTATTGATATTTTTCTATCACAAAGATACAGATTAAATCAGGAGTGTTTCTTTGTCATTCATTACCAATAGGATAATGTCAGCTGGAAGACCAGTAATAGAATCAGTAGATAGTGAGGTTTGTAAGCTGCACTGGAGATTGTTTCAATTTGACTCAGGCTTCTACTGCTGAGAGTAAAAGTGCAATCTGTGTCCTCTGTGAATTATGTCAGACCCTGGGAGCACACAAAGGGAAAGTACCATGTAGAGGGGTGCCCTTTGTTGTGTCGCAATACTGTCATAGCTTAGCACCCCTTTGCCAGTGTCTCATTTTGACCAGAGGGCAGACACCTGGCAGGGATCTGGGTTAGAGTCTGAGGCAGAGAATAGTGCTTTTTGTTTTCTGAATTTAAGTGGCCTCTATAGGGATCAAACTCTCACCCTTGGCAACAGGAGCCACAGGATAGAACGGGTGAACTACTAAAGAGCTGAAAAATGCAGCAGTAGAACAGAGAACATTTCCAAGCTACAAATTACCTCGTGCTTTGTGGGAAGCCGAGGAGCCTTTAGAGTTTTAATCCATTACCCCCTCTACCCCAAGAGAATATAGTGGCTTGTATCAAATATTTATTTTTAGGTCACCACCATCTCGCACACCCATTTACTGCCTCGGTGCACTAAAATGCAACTCAATAGCCTGAAAAGTTAATGCATTTTCATCAGATTCTTAAGAGGCATTTATATCTCTTGAGGAAAAAAGGTGGCCTTCCATAATGCCCTGGACTTGCCCATCATTAAAGATTCAGGAAAACCAGACACAAACCAGATGCCCTGAGGTGTTTGGGTCCGGTTTGTACAAGACAATATTAGAGCAGGTTCACAAAGCCAGATTTGACTGGAAAATTAATTTCTCAGTATAAAATTTCTTGTGATGCTATAATTACCATAGCACATGCTGCTGTATTCTTCTGTGTAAAACCATCCTGTCTTTTAACTGTACTGCTGTGGTGAGCTCACACTGTAGAGTCTGATAACCCTGAGTTCAAATCTCGGTGTTGCCTCTTCTAACTCTAACAAAGATGAGACAGTACTTAATTTCTATTATCTTTAGTTCCCTTGTAGCGGTTTGAAGCACATCATTTAGCAATGTAAATAGCTAAGTGGAGCCTTTTTGTAGGTAATTAATACCTGGAACAGCAGTGCTTGCTCTCTGTTTCATGCCCTTTGCTTCAAATTATCCATAAGTGCTTCAGGCTAAGGAAGAGGGTGCCATCTCTCAGGGCACCCTGCCAGGCCCTGGCCACAAGCTCACATCCATGCATTTATTTGTATTACCTGGAATAAAGCAAACCAAGATTGTCATTTGCCATACAGTTGCTTCTCCTTATTTGCAGATCCAATTTCTTCAATTTGTCTGCTTACTTACCTTATCTCTAAATGTTAGTGTTCTCAGTGCTTTTAAGTTATCCATTGCTGTCCGTTAAGCAGCAAAGTAATAATGACGATGGCAGAAGCTTTTGCCAGCTCCACAGATTCCCCGCTGAGGCTGGACAGCACAGGCCCCGCCATTCACTCAGCTAGCACACTGAACAAGTGCCTTTTTTTTTTTTTTTTTTTTTTTTTTTTGGCCTATTTACTACCATGCTATTTACTTTTTCTGTGTCTTTGACTGTCTTCACTGTCTGCGGCTTCCTGATAACAGCACTAAAATTCTGGGGCAGCATCTTCAAGCACAGGAGTCTGGAGTGACAGGAGTCACAGCTTAGGAGCAGAAAACATCCGGATAGATGGTAGGGAGGTGAGCAGCATTCTGCATACACTGAACTGCACTCAACCTAGGATTTTAAAGGGGTTAAAACAGCAGCACCATTTACGTAATAGTTCCTAACCATTTTTGAGAGTGCTGGTATGTCTCATAGAAAGAAAACATTCCTCCTGAGAAAACACATGCTAGGCAAACCGCTCAGGCCTGAGTTTGTTACTTCTGTGAATTCAGTGGTAATGAATGAAGGCTGTCGGTTGAGTGTGGCGCCTTTCCACAGAAACACACACACACACACACACACACACACACACACACACACACGGCAGTACATACATCAGAAGATGAACAGTGAGGATATCCATGGCCTACCTTTTGTGCACATTCTTGAGGAACAGCGCTTGTGAATTCAGTGTTGGCAGTGTTGGTACACTGAGAGCAGCTAATTAATACCTCAATGCTCAGGTTAAGAAGCATTTAGGCAGTTTCAAGAACATCTGTTTCTTCTCTGGTGGTGACAGTTGCCAGCTTCCCGACACAGGGTAGTGTGACATGGGCACTCTTTACTGTGGCCCGAGACTGCAGGCTGCTCTCACAATGGAGACAGAGAGGTATAACACTGGGATGACTGAAGAGACAAGAAGTTCTTCCACCTGCCCAGGAGAACTTGGGCTCTCAGCTTGGTGGCCTTGTACTACCCTTTGAAAGGAGCCTCTTTTGGAGGTCAGAGGAGGCAAGCATCTCCCCCAAGGGTTCTATTAGTCTTTGTATCACTCAGTTATGGTGGGCCTGGAATTTTTTGTCCTCATCAGTAAGGTAGCAAGCATACATCTCTGACCTCTATTCAAACCCCCATGAATTATCTCCTAACACATTGGAGAGTATAAAACGTATCTGCCAAAACAGTTTATGATTTTACTCCTTTCAGATCCTGGGAACTACTCACCTGAAAAAACTTTAACGATGAGGTCCAAAATTAGAGGAAGAGGTTAGGAATCTGTGTGAGGATGCTTCAGGAAAAATTCAATTGTTTTGAGAAAACACTCAGCAAGCTGTGTTTTATCTGGCTGTTCACCATTTCCTTCAGACGATGTTTAGCAGTGCTCTCTGGTGGTTATTCTCGCAGTCAAACCAAAACCTACAGAGTGCTCAAACCACATCACGAGAAAGTAGGGCCCACCTCGAGGACAGCTGACTGTCCATGCTTCCATACATTACAAGACAAAAATTAACCAAAAGTGCTGTGGCACCAAGGAAGGAAAGCACAGGAAAAGAAGACAGGAGCTTCAGGTTTGCAACTCCTACTCTATGCAATCTCAGGTAAGTCAATCAGCAAAGCCTTATTTATGAATATATATTTGGATACATGAATTTATCATTTTATGAAATATTTGAATGCCGTCTATGTCCTTGGTGCTAATGTTTGATTATGAAGATAAAACACTGAACCAAATACAATCACTTTTCATGAACCCTATTGTCTACTTTCTTTATATAATATTTGAGTAGGTGTGCATGTCATTTCAACTAGGATTTATCCACTAAGTTACTGATCCTTAAAAATTCTCACTCTCACAGTGTCTTTATATTCTTAAAATTATTAAGGGTCCCACAAATCTTTTGTATGTACAGATTATATTGATGAATATTCAATATAAGTCAAAACTGGAACTCTTAGTATAGAGGCATAAGCAGATATTTGCTGCATTTGCTGACAGTTTTTTATTTTTCTAATATTTATGACTATTTTATGCATATGTATTTGTGTGTGTGTGTTTATGTACATCAAATGCAGGCCAGTGCCCACTGAGGCCAGAGGATGTCAGATCCCCTGAAACTGGAATTATGGATGTTCTGAGCTGCCTGTTATGAGTGCTAGGAACTGAATCTAGATCTTTGGCAAGAGCAGTCAGTGCGCTTAACCACAGCTCCATTTCTCTAACACCAGATTTTTCTTTTCTTTTTTTTTTTTTTTTTTTTTTTTTACTGTTGTGTGTTAGTTGCAGGCTTCATGACAATGTCCTGTTGTGTACTCTGCAGCCTTTCCTGAGTTACCTCTTCTTTCTTCCACACATCTGAAGTCTCCCTTCCACCGTATGAACAGCATTGTCTTGAGATGCGGATCCTCTTGGAAGAACTCCATTGTATAAAGAAGAGATAATGACGGAGGAAGAGGAAACAATGTGAGAATTGTTGTGACAGCGGTTTGAACATCATGGGCTCCCTGGAAGCACATAGAGCGGTCTGGACTACACTGGAGCCTAACGTGGTTTTAGCTGCAGCAATTGGGTGCTTTCCTGCAAACTACCCCTCTCCCAGATTCTTCGGCTTTTTAGTTATTATCAAATATAGCTCTCCTTAGGTGTTATAGATATTTTCTAGTACATAATTGTTTTCAACAGATGGAACAGAAACTCTGTGGCATTAGAATTGCCAGCTACAAGTGAATAGGCAAACTAGAGAACTCTGGAAGAAAGACTAGTTTAAAGGAT